AACAATACTCGGCAGAGGGAAGGGATAAGAGTGAGTGTTATATAGTGAGGGAGTGATATGAAACAGCTGGGTGCAATCAGTGTAAACAGGTGTGTGCAATTCGTGCTGAGTGCAATCAGTAATGCATGATGGGAAATGTAGTCCGGGGTGCTATGCAACAGTTTGTGTGGTGCGAGAGTCAATGAAAAGGAAAGTTCATGGACCGGATTCGTGACACACAGTGAATTCAAGAGGGAAATAATTTCAATACAAGAGTCACTCAGGGATTTGTGTTGTTTTACTTAATGTTAGTGTATTTCTACACTAGAAATTGTAGCTGTAAATGAAGACAACACCTATATATATTTGGATTAGAAATTATTTGTTTGCCTCTATTATAATTGTATTTACCTTTTTCATTGTTTTTTACAGTTTGGTCATCAACCATTAAAGGTAATGCTTCTTAAATTATTATAATAATTTTTACATTATTATAATTATTAAAAAAATAAAGGATCTGTATTTGCAACTGTGATTCCAATAAAAACCTTTAACATCCATGGAACCTTTCAATGCCACAAAAGGTTCTTTATAATAGAAGAATATTCTTTGGATTTTTAAAATGTTCTTCAAACACACAAAAAAAGTTTCTTTCTAGAGTTGTTTGCTGAAATGTTCTTTGAGAAACCAAAAATGGCCTCGCTGCAAAAAAAACAAACACACTAAGAACAGCTTCTCTAACTTATATATATATATATGTTTAGTGGATGTTTTTCAAGTTTCTGTTGTCAATAAGTGACTTCTTTCTCCTCACTCTGCAGCTAAAGATGAACACCGCTCTGCTTTCTTTGGAGAGGATGTTCATATTCCCGTGCCGGCTTTAGACACAACAGAGGTGTTGTTCAAGCCGAGAGTGGATGCGTTGTTAGGGCGGGTTCTCCTGCAGGACGGGAAAATTCTGGATTCAAGAGCCAAACTGAACATTCACATCAGCCATTTGATCCTGGAGGATGTGGGCGAGGAGGATGAGGGCACGTATGTGGTGAAGAATTCTGCGGCCCCGGCTGATGTCAGACGAATCATTCTCATTGTTCGAGGTATAAGTTACAATACCACTATTTCTGTCAGGACCACTATCGTCAAAGATGATTGACAATTAGCATACAGTTTGGATTGGCGGTATGGTTCTGTTCTGGGCAAGAACTCCCTGCGCATCCATGCAGCCTAGCATGGATGAGAGCAGGAAGAGCAGCGATAACCCCCCCAGGGTAAACAGAACCAACATAAATGTATGCAGATATCGTTAAAGTTCAATAATGCTATGTACACATTTTAGGATTAGTCTGATTTAAAGGAGACTCAGAATACTGAATCCTGACTGACAGAGGAGGAGCTGGGGATGGAGGAGGGTAATTAGCTATTGAGCAATGCGAAAACTGCTGATAATACTGAGGGACCTTATATATATATGAATGCTTAGATAGGTGTCGTATTCCCATAGGTTGATGGGGATCAGCTGAGAGTCAGCTGATGCGAGCTTGACTAACGTGACCTGCCAGAACTAACGCTTCGCTAGATATAACTACTTGCTCAGTTGATTATCTCATGATAGATTAATGACAGGATAGAATTCACTCAGCAAAATACTTTTTTTAAGTGATGAAAAGCTAATTCTATATGCTATATGGTCACTACATGTTAGGGCTGGACGATATGGGCAAAATTTATATGACGATATATTTCTTAATTTCGGTCACTTTTGAACACTATTTAAAAAAGCCTCGTAAAAACTGCCAAGAACGCCCACAACAGATGTCTGTGCATACAAAATTTGCCAAGTCTATGACACCTCATATAAAACCATATAATATTTTAGAAAATAATCCCCTGCACAAATAAATTAATGTTCACCTCTTATTTGTATTTAGCCTTCATACAAACAAGAAATCTGAAATCACTGTCAAATAATAGTCTCAGACTCACCTAATTAATATTAATATCTTTAACTACAAACTATAGGCTAACATACACTACCAGTCAAAAGTTTTTGAACAGTAAGGTTTTTAATGTTTTTAAAGCATTCTCTTCTGCTCACCAAGCCTGCATTTATTTGTTCCAAAATACAGCAAAAACAGTGACATTTCTAATTTTTTTACTATTTAAAATAACTGATTTCTGTTTGAAAATATTTTAAAATGTAATTTATTCCTGTGATTTCAAAGCTATATTGCTATGATAAAAAGCTATGATATTTAGCATCATTACTCCAGTCACATGATCCTTCGGAAATCATTCTAATATTCTGATTTGCTGCTCAAAAATAATTTATTACTTTTGAAAACAGCTGAGTAGAATTTTTTTCAGGTTTATTTGATGAATAGAAAGTTGAGAAGAACAGCATTTATCTGAAATAGAAATCGTTTGTAACATTATAAATGAACATTATAAATGACTTTATCATCACTTGACAAGCATCCTTGCTAAATAAAAGTATGAATTTCTATAAATTCTTTCAAAAAAAAGAAAAAAAAAGAAATTATACTGACTCCAAGCTTTTGAATGGAATAGTGTATAATGTTACAAAAGCTTTTTATTTCAGATAAATGCTGATCTTTGGATCTTTCTATTCATCAAAGAAACCTGGAAAAAAAAGTACTCAACTGTTTTAAATATTGATAAGCAGCAAATCAGAATGTTAGAATGATTTCTGGATCATGTGACACTGAAGACTGGAGTAATGATGCTGAAAATTTGATCACAGAAATAAATTACATTTTAAAATATATTCTATATAAAATATATAATAGAAAGCAGTTATTTTAAATAGTAAAAAAAAATAATAAAAAAAAAATAAAAAAAAATATATATACATTTTTTTTTTTTTTTTTTTGCTGTACTTTGGATCAAATAAATGCAGGCTTGGTGAGCAGAAGTGAATTCTTAAAAAAACAAAAAAAAACAACAACTTAAAAATCTGTTTAAAATCTTGTGACTGGTAGTATAAGCTGATTATTCTTATAAATTGAAACAAATGTGCTTTAGCCAGTATAAAGAGTATGAAAAGTGCTCTGAGTTGCTGCAGAAAACAACAACAAAAACAAAAAAAAGAGCAACAACAAAAGCATGTTGCTGGAGACGGGCTTATTGAAAATGCAAACTGATAGTCTGCCAGCAGGAGGCGCTTTGAGAGCGGTAGAACTAGCGGCTTCTACGCTTACGGCTGTAATCAAATCAGCTCTGCTCAAGAACGCTTCTTTATCAGATAAAATGAACATTCCATCGAAACTTTTCTGAAGACAGTCCTTTCCCTTCAGAGATACACTCATATAAAACCAACCCAGTTGTTGTATAAAACACCCGCGCCGTGTTTTGATTTTAAAATGTGCAGTGCTCATGTTTATTCAACGAAGTCAAACGCCACAAATAAATCAATGTATGGCAAACACTAATGTATATCGGAAATGCATCTAAAAATCATATCACCATTATTGAAAAAAATTATAATCGCGATACATATTGATATTGAATTACTGTCCAGCCCTACTACATGTTATGAATATACATACACTACTAATAAAAGTTTGGAATTAAGTTAAAAATTCACAATAATGGACACAATAATTTGATCAAAAGCGACAGTAAAGACATTTCTAATATTACAAAAGATTTCTATATCAAATAAATGTAATAGATGCATCAAAGAATCCTGAAAAAAAGTACCAAGCAGCAAAAACTTTTACATCAACGTTGATAATAATAAGACTTATTTTTAATAAATGATAATAAGTTACTAATAATAATTGGTTATAATAACTGAGCAACAAATCAACATATTAGAATGAATTCTGAGAATTATTTTATATATAACATTCGCTGTTAGGATTAACTGCTTCTGAGAAGATGAGACCATTAATTTTGATATTTTTGTATTTAGACACTGAATCACAATTAAAACATTACACAGAATTATTCATACTTTTGTTTCCAAGTGTGTAGTTGAAAAAAAGCAGCACAGTCAGCATCCTCATAGGTGTGTTAATATATTTCAAAATGCTTTTTTCTTCTAGATTGTGCACTAGAGACTGTGGTGAAATATGGAGACACGTATCATATCCCGATCAACCCTTCGATTGGTCCATACACGCTTGAGTTCAGGCCTGAAGCTCGAACTCCAGTTTACCAGACCACAGAGGAACCGCCTGTGCTGCTTCTCAACCAGATCGGCATCCCCACGCAAGAGTACGAGCACCGCCTCACTGTGGGCGAGAAGAGGGTCAACCTCCATTTGGTTACCGGAGCTGATGAGGGCAGCTACACCGTCGTGGACAGTGATGAAAAAGTCAGAACGAGGGCCTGCCTCAACGTGAAAGGTGAAAAAGTCAATGTTTGTGAGTGCATTATATGAGGAGACTGTTTCAGCAGGCCTAGATGACTAATGTGCCAAAGCCTTGAGATAGTGTAAAAGTACAAAGAAGGAAGTGAAGAAGGAAAGACAGAAAATAAAGGATCAAAAACAGGACAAGTGGATTAAGTAGACGCAGACTTTAATCTATCAGTATTGATTTTGGTCCACATTGCAGCTTGTTGCCAAGAACCGTCTACTTCAGTGATCCTCAAATCTGGCTCGCGAGATCCACTTTCCTGCAGAGTTTAGCTCTAACCATAATCAAACACACCTGAGCATGCTAATCAATGTCTTCAGGATCATTAGAAAATCACAGGTAGGTTTGTTTGATTAGGGTTGGAGCTAAACTCTGCAGGAAAGTGGATCTTGCGAGCCAGATTTGAGGATCACTGGTCTACTTAGACAGAAAAAGGACCATCTGACCATATAAAGTGAAAACCACAATTTTATGTGACATTTTGGCAGAATAATCTAAAATCAGCCCTAAAACAAAGCTGAACATACAGATATCGGGTACTAGCACAAAGATGGTGATATCAGTATTGACAATAATACATAATAAATGCTTATTATTACCAATAATAATAATAATAATAATAATAGCAAAATACATATATTATATTATAACATTAATAATAATAAAATTATTATTATTATTATTATAGTAATAATTACTATTATTAACAAAACTAACAATAACAATTCTGCCAAGTGTTATAATTCATTATTATTGCTTTTGGCTGTTTGCAGCTACATAGGAATTTGGTATATATTATTATTATTAATTATATATAATATAATATTATTAATTCTAAATATATATTTTATATTATATAATTTTATAATATATAATTATATATATATATTAAAAATCAGTCAATTGTGCCTAGTAAAATTTATTAGAACTACTGTCGGTTGTTTGCAGGTGCAGTAATGCAACATTCAGTATCCTTGTATATCCTTTTAATTATCGTTTCCCCCCCCATGTAACAGACCACCAGATCTTTGAGCACTTGAATTATGGTGAAACCTTGAAGATCATGCTTCACGTGGACTACACCAAAGCCAAAATGGTCTACTTCACGGACACTGACTACAAGGAACGACTCATCATGGACCAGGGGGAGCTGACGGTACCTGTCGACTCTGCGTTTGAGGGTCGAGAGTCTGTGGAAGGATCCATGTTCTACTTGAAGAAGGTCAAAGTCGGTGACAACGGTGTCTTTCGAGTGATGGACTCTTCAGGCTTCCGCATAGCTGATGTCTACCTTCATGTGGAGCGTGAGTAGAACATTTGAGAAGCTATGGTTGATTGGGTTTGGTTCAGACTTACACATAACTTACACACTGAGGTGTATTTCCTGTACCTATGACCCTCTTTTCTCTCATAACAGCCTATAAGCTGCCACAGCTTTATCTGGCGATCATCTCCTTGGTGTCTCTGCTGGCGTTCCTGCTGTTAGTGTGTCTGTTGTCCTGTCTGATCAAGGTTCACCGTCGGGCAGAGAGAGCACGTAAAATCACCCTAATCGCTCAACAGGCCGGCAAGGGTGATGGAGAGGTGTTCAGACAGGTAAAACCAATTAACCTCAATTAACTATTTTGATCAAATAAATACAGCTTTGCTGAGCATTTAAAAAATCTTACTGAACTCAAAAATTTTGAACAGTGGTGTAGGTTGTGATTATACATATACTGTATAATATATATATATATATATTATGATAATTAAATCAGTTTCAGCAAATGCGATTGATCAACTGTCAAAAACATGTGTCTGTGTGTTTACATCTCGTCTTTGTTCGTTTTCTTGCACCTTCTTTCATACATACTGATGAACCGCTTTTAATTATTTATTATTTTTATATGATTATTTTTAATTATTTGAACTATTCCTGGGTAATTTAGTCTGATTTTACCCTCTTTGTTCCTTATGAGAGAAAACGTCTTGTAGCATACTGTTGTAGCCTCAAGAAAACATTCCCTTTGTTTCAAAACCTTGCAAATTCATCCCTTTTCCAACAGCAAAGCAGTCCAGTCTTGCCAATTACCTATTATCACCCATCAGTCAATACAAATATAATCTGGCTGTTTGTGTTGGAGTGTAAAGTGAGATTGAATGAGTGTATTCATTGAGTTTCACACAAACACATTTATTTAAAAGAGGTTTTGTGATGTTATAGCTTAACACTTCATCTGCGTTGCATTTCTCCCTCCTAAAGGAACATCAGACGGAGTCCTTGCTGGGTGAGAGAGCTTTACATTCTGCTGTCGTATTTTCCCATAGTGCTAAACTGATGAATCTGTAATGGTGTTGTAGTAGCGCAACAGGGGTCCCAAAGGCCTTCTGTCACTCTTAGTGCCTGTGTATCTGTCCGTTATTCCCTTCATTTTCCTCTCAGACCTCCTGAGATGAGTAACTTCAGGTGTATTGCACTGATCTAATTTGAACTCTTAACGTGAATAGGTATAAAGGTACATACACCTGTGTGTTAAAACTTCTGCCGTGCTTAAACACACATGCACATATGCAATATATATGGAGAGGTAAATATAATTCTATGTGTATGTGTGCTGTTTATATGCTTCTGTGTGAATGTGTACATATGGTTGGCAGTGATTAATAGAGTCAATTCTATGCTCATAATGTGTTTATATTTTAATGAGGTCCTGTTTATATAGAATTACTTTCTTTCATGTTACATTGTTTTTGCTTTGTAAATTAGATACAGATTAGATGCAAGGTTATGTTTGGAATGGAATACTAGCATACTGGATACTAGGTAGTATATACTTTTTTTTTTATATTTAAATATTTAAACAGCACAATGACCAGTAGTATGTTACATTGCTGTCACATGACATATCAGAGATAAAATGTTTACTTTGTGTTTTCGAATCAATTTTATGAATAAAAAAACAAACAACCCCCCTCCCTCTTTTTTTCAAATAATGTGCAAAGGGACAGAAAATTTGCGTTCTTCACACTAGATTTGCCATGTGATGATGTCGTAATGTCGATGTCATAATTTTCAGTTTGCGCCATAATAAGGCAAGGCAAGTTTATTTGTATAGCACATTTCATACACAATGGTAATTCAAAGTGCTTTACAGAAAAGAAAAGAATAATAATAAATAAAAAAATTATAATAATCACAACAATAAAACAAGGAATTAAAAAACTTTGAAAATGATTAAAAGCTGAGCTGCAGCTGTCTAATGGTCTTCTTGGGAAGGCCGGTGAGGAGACCATTACAATAGTCCACCCTGCTGGTGATAAAGGCATGAACAAGTTTCTCCAAGTCTTGACTGGAAACAAAACCTCTAATTCTTGCAATGTTTTTGAGATGATAGTATGCTGATTTAGTTAGTGCTTTGACATGACTACTGAAACTAAGGTCTGTCTCCAGAATCACACCAAGATTCCTGACTTGATTTATAGTTGTCAAACCCCTAGAGTCAAGGTATTCATTCACCTTGAGAACTTCATCTTTGTTTCCAAATGCAATGACTTCAGTTTTTTCCTTGTTTAACTGAGGAAAGTTCTGGCACATCCAACTGTTAATTTCATCAATGCATTGGCAGAGGGAGTCAATGGGGCTGTAGTCATTTGGAGATACGGCTATCTGGGTATCATCAGCATAGCTGTGATAGGCAATTTGGTTCTTTCTCATTATTTGACTTAGTGGGAGCATATACAGGCTAAACAAGAGCGGTGCAAGAATTGAGCCTTGTGGGACTCCGCAAGTCATGGACGTCCACTTAGTCTTATGCTCTCCTATACTCACATAATAACCTCTCCCTTCTAAGTATGACCTGAACCATTTGATTACCATCCCAGAAAGCCCGACCCAGTTTTCCAGTCTCTCTAGTAGTATGTTATGATCAACAGTGTCATCATAATAATGGTAATAGAGCTGGTTGGATGCTAGGTGGTGCTATAAGATAATTTTTGTTGCACAAAAACCTGCATAATAACGCAAGCTTGATTTCAAACTTACTATTTATTAATTTCTTTATTGCAAAAAACAATTACACTGAAAATAAATAACGTGCAATCAGGTTAAATGGTGTGTTGTTCACCAAAGCTCAACCATTTCAAGTGTTCGGTCATTCTGATAATGGACTTGATAATACATTTTATTGCAATTATATATTATTACATCTTACATTTGAATTATTTATCTACATCTTACATTTTATGTACGTACATATGTATTTCTTTAATAATGTATTTTAGCTAAAGAATTACACAGAAAAATCAGGTTAAATGTTGTTCACCAAAGCTCAACCACATTTAATTTATTTATCTTCACCTTACATTTTTATTCATTTAAGCTAAAAAATTTAACTGAGAGAAATAAAGTTCAATCAGGATGAAGTGTTTGTTGTTCACAGCAAAGTTCAACCATTTCAAGCATTTGTTCATTCTGAGAATGGTCTTGATAATACATTTTATCATTTATATATTACATTTTATTGGTTATCTGCATCTTACATTTATTTATTTATTAATTTACTTATTTTATCTAAAAAAAAATTAAGTAAAGTGCAATCAGGTTAAATTGTTTGTTGTTCACTAAAGCTCAGGCGTTTCAAGCATTCAGTCATTCTGATAAAGGTCTTACTAGATTGCTGGGTTCGCTTTAAAATATTAATATTTTACACATTTAAGATGTATGTTGTGTAACCGGATTATGATCTGCTGACTTTTGTGCTGCCCCTTGCACAATTGTTCCTGTCAGATGAAAGTTGACATATTCTGTCAGGGCTCATGCCTGTGCAATTTTGATACCATCTGTAAAAACATTTTGCTTTTAATGCATTCATTTAATTCAGCATTAGTCCCAAACTTATCATTAAGTGGCTGTACTTGTTTAAGGCTATTCTTTTTATTTGGCTGTTGTTATTGCAATTGCTGTCATTAAATAAGTTTCATTCATAACATTTCCCCATTTTACCTAATATAAAATTTCATGCCTGTATCTTCCTCTGTACCGTGGCAAGCCTACTGCATACTATATAAAATACTATAGTAAAAGTAGTATGCTAGTATACTATTGTGAATATAGTCACTAGACTCTAGCAATTAATCATTTGCCAACCCAGTGAAATTCATGTTGTCCATGTGTTTGTCTGTGACGTCATTGTTTACTCTCAAAGCCTTATAAGCGTGCCTCTGGGTTACGTACTCATACTATATAAGTTTCGTGGCACTGTGAAGGACCAGACAGACAATACACAAGCAACAATATGCTGACTTCATCAGAATTATTTAGATACATTGCCCTTTGCATCATCCAGTTTTCACAATGTTACAGTATACAGTATATACAACCCTAATATACATGCAGAATATTTATTCTGGATCTGCTGATTCTCAGGCTGTTTTTACACTCGGTTTGTTTGGTTGGTCTGAACCTGAGTTAATTTCGCTCAACATTTCAACATTGCTTCCAAACTGTGATATTTTTGCATCACCAGCAGCAGATGTCTGCCACTGGCGCTATAACAGCTCAGAAGGAGAAGGAGCTAAAATGGGAAGCATTATTCACCTCATTTGCTGTAGTCATATTTTAGTCCATATGATTTTCACTTGCTGATTTTCAGGCAAACAGGAATGATTGATGCATTATAAGGTGAATGCAGGTCAATAGGGCCACTTTTTTCATATTGAGAGAATTGCCAAAAAGTGAAAATTTACTCATCTACTAAAATCTACTATCAATAGCGGTTCACTCTGCAGACATATGCCACATAAAACATACATCAGACTCACATTTTAAATTTTTCCCATTTTTTGACTCATGCACGAGTTTGAAAACAGATTTCACACCCATTAAAATAAACTCGTCAAATGGACTCTGGTTCAAAACACACAAGCTTTAGTGTGAAAAAACCCTTGCTATGATTTTTATTCTATTGTGAGACCACCCACAGCACAGTATGCTGATTCACGTGTGTGTAATGATGTTTTTCAGGTGGTTCATGAAGCTTATACTAGATTCACAGAGGAGCCCACCGTACAGTCCACATGGGAGAACAACACTGAAAGCACAGAAGTTGAGATCAAAGTAGGTGATTTTGTTTTCCTTTGGAAGTTAGTTAGTCTGCCAACATGATTTTAAAGTTATAGTTCACCTCATGTCATTCCAAATCAAGGCTATTCTTATTAACTAAAATACAATTATTAAAAACATTTTGTTAATTGAAAACGCTAAAATGAAATTAAATATATAAATATTAGATGAAGAACTTAAATGAGAATGAAATGAAAATGAGAAATATTGCCTTGAAAGAAGTTTAAGTACTCACTGGAAATAAAAACTAAAACTGAAATAAATCAAATTAAACCTAAATTTTTTTAAAACCTAATATTTAAGAAGAACTAATTAAAATGACAAAAGCACATAACAAAAATACTTATTTTTTTAATTTTTTTTACTAAAACTAATATAGTAACTGAATATGTACAAATAAAAGATGATTCAAAATGTTAATAAAAACTTTAATAGTATATATATAATACTAAAATATCAAACCTGTAGGCTGTTATTTTTCTATGGAACACAATATTTAAAATATTTTTAAAAAATGTGAAAATTAAATTAAATCAATTATATTTGGTTCTTTAATATTTAATATTCGCTAAAATCTAAAGAATTGTTATGCAGCTTGTGCAACAACTGGTCATAGTTCAGACCAATAAAGACAAATTAAATTAAATTACCAGCAACATATGTGACCATGGACCACAAAACCAGCCATAAGTTTCAATTTTTTTGAAATTGAGATGTATGCATCATCTGAAAGGTAAACAAATAAGCTTTCCATTGATGTATGGTTTGTTAGGACAGGACAATATTTGGCCGAGATACAACTATTTGAAAATCTGGAATCTGAGGGTGCAAAAAAATCTAAATATTGAGAAAATCATCTTTAAAGTTGTCCAAATGAAGTTCTTAGCAATGCATATTACTAATCAAAAATTAAGTTTTGATATATTTACGGTAGGAAATTTACAAAATATCTTCATGGAACATGATCTTTACTTAATATCCTAATGATTTTTGGCATAAAAGAAAAATCGATAATTTTGACCCATACAATGTATTTTTGGCTATTGCTACAAATATACCCCAGCGACTTAACACTGCTTTTGTGCTCCAGGGTCACATATGTGATACTTTATTATACAGCAATATTTTGAATTCTGTAATATTCTTTAATATTTAAAGAATGGTTATGCAGCTTATGTAACAACTGTTCATAGTTCAGAACAAAATGACAGATTGAATGAAATTGTATTAAATTACATTTAAAACGGCAACATAAGGATAAATAATTACAGAATTTTTGTGTGAACGTTTTTTTTTTAGTATTTAGTATTTGTATAGTTCATCTTACAATTTTTGGTTCTGATTTAATTCTTAGGGTCTTGAGGTATCAAAACCAGGTCAGTACCAGGTCCTCCAATCTGACAAAAACTTCTTGGAGATGAATGACTCAGGCGTGGAGTTCAACTCGTCTGCACTTCCTCTGGACAGTGACACAGACGTACCCGACAATCTCGCCTCTCACAAGATCCTGCTCGAGTCTGACACTCTCGCTGGTGTCCCGCCGGCCATTTCTGAGGGTGACCACAGTGCCACTCGCACCCCTGATTCCATTCTGAGCGTCAGCCCTGCTGTCCAGCCCAAATCTGCAGCTCAGATAGATGGTGACTTGATTGGCGCGACCACACCTGAGGAAATTACAAAAGCAAATGAATCGGATGCAAAGATGAGCAAAGATGCTTCACCATATTCAGAGAAAGCATTGGATCCAAGTAATGGAACCACAACCTGAGCACTTTGAAGTAAACTGAGTCACACTAACCAGTGTGGCCACTGTTCATTCATAACATCTCACCGTTTGATGTCTAAAATGACCCAGCACATCTTGCTGGGCTCATCTGATGCTTAACAAATGGTTTCTCGAACAAGCAGAAACACTGATTCTAGAAGAACAAAAGAACAAATCCAAGAGAAGACAACAAAATTCACATAGAAGAACAGAAACGGCCCTGCACTATGCATGCATTTGAATTACTGAGGCGTTTAAAGCCAAGTGCTTGATTAGAGTGACCGTGTAGTGCATGTGAAGAAGAAAAACACATCTTAAGACACACATGTAAGACTTAATACTTTTTTATTAATATTACTAAGCAATGCAACTATAACTAGAACTTTTATGTGAGAGTCCAAATGCCTGAAGCTACATCTGAAGCAGATTGCATTGGATCTTACATCTACAAAATGCCAAAAGAACATTTTGAGAATTCCAATCTTTGTTTCCAAATGCAATGACTTCAGTTTTTTCCTTGTTTAACTGAGGAAAGTTCTGGCACATCCAACTGTTAATTTCATCAATGCCTTGGCAGAGGGATTCAATGGGGCTGTAGTCATTTAATGATAAGGCTAGGTAAATCTGGATATCATCAGCATAGCTGTGATAGGCAATTTGGTTCTTTCTCATTATTTGACTTAGTGGGAGCATATACAGGCTAAACAAGAGCGGTGCAAGAATTGAGCCTTGTGGGACTCCGCAAGTCATGGACGTCCACTTAGTCTTATGCTCTCCTATACTCACATAATAACCTCTCCCTTCTAAGTATGACCTGAACCATTTGATTACCATCCCAGAAAGCCCGACCCAGTTTTCCAGTCTCTCTAGTAGTATGTTATGATCAACAGTGTCATCATAATAATGGTAATAGAGCTGGTTGGATGCTAGGTGGTGCTATAAGATAATTTTTGTTGCACAAAAACCTGCATAATAACGCAAGCTTGATTTCAAACTTACTATTTATTAATTTCTTTATTGCAAAAAACAATTACACTGAAAATAAATAACGTGCAATCAGGTTAAATGGTGTGTTGTTCACCAAAGCTCAACCATTTCAAGTGTTCGGTCATTCTGATAATGGACTTGATAATACATTTTATTGCAATTATATATTATTACATCTTACATTTGAATTATTTATCTACATCTTACATTTTATGTACGTACATATGTATTTCTTTAATAATGTATTTTAGCTAAAGAATTACACAGAAAAATCAGGTTAAATGTTGTTCACCAAAGCTCAACCACATTTAATTTATTTATCTTCACCTTACATTTTTATTCATTTAAGCTAAAAAATTTAACTGAGAGAAATAAAGTTCAATCAGGATGAAGTGTTTGTTGTTCACAGCAAAGTTCAACCATTTCAAGCATTTGTTCATTCTGAGAATGGTCTTGATAATACATTTTATCATTTATATATTACATTTTATTGGTTATCTGCATCTTACATTTATTTATTTATTAATTTACTTATTTTATCTAAAAAAAAATTAAGTAAAGTGCAATCAGGTTAAATTGTTTGTTGTTCACTAAAGCTCAGGCGTTTCAAGCATTCAGTCATTCTGATAAAGGTCTTACTAGATTGCTGGGTTCGCTTTAAAATATTAATATTTTACACATTTAAGATGTATGTTGTGTAACCGGATTATGATCTGCTGACTTTTGTGCTGCCCCTTGCACAATTGTTCCTGTCAGATGAAAGTTGACATATTCTGTCAGGGCTCATGCCTGTGCAATTTTGATACCATCTGTAAAAACATTTTGCTTTTAATGCATTCATTTAATTCAGCATTAGTCCCAAACTTATCATTAAGTGGCTGTACTTGTTTAAGGCTATTCTTTTTATTTGGCTGTTGTTATTGCAATTGCTGTCATTAAATAAGTTTCATTCATAACATTTCCCCATTTTACCTAATATAAAATTTCATGCCTGTATCTTCCTCTGTACCGTGGCAAGCCTACTGCATACTATATAAAATACTATAGTAAAAGTAGTATGCTAGTATACTATTGTGAATATAGTCACTAGACTCTAGCAATTAATCATTTGCCAACCCAGTGAAATTCATGTTGTCCATGTGTTTGTCTGTGACGTCATTGTTTACTCTCAAAGCCTTATAAGCGTGCCTCTGGGTTACGTACTCATACTATATAAGTTTCGTGGCACTGTGAAGGACCAGACAGACAATACACAAGCAACAATATGCTGACTTCATCAGAATTATTTAGATACATTGCCCTTTGCATCATCCAGTTTTCACAATGTTACAGTATACAGTATATACAACCCTAATATACATGCAGAATATTTATTCTGGATCTGCTGATTCTCAGGCTGTTTTTACACTCGGTTTGTTTGGTTGGTCTGAACCTGAGTTAATTTCGCTCAACATTTCAACATTGCTTCCAAACTGTGATATTTTTGCATCACCAGCAGCAGATGTCTGCCACTGGCGCTATAACAGCTCAGAAGGAGAAGGAGCTAAAATGGGAAGCATTATTCACCTCATTTGCTGTAGTCATATTTTAGTCCATATGATTTTCACTTGCTGATTTTCAGGCAAACAGGAATGATTGATGCATTATAAGGTGAATGCAGGTCAATAGGGCCACTTTTTTCATATTGAGAGAATTGCCAAAAAGTGAAAATTTACTCATCTACTAAAATCTACTATCAATAGCGGTTCACTCTGCAGACATATGCCACATAAAACATACATCAGACTCACATTTTAAATTTTTCCCATTTTTTGACTCATGCACGAGTTTGAAAACAGATTTCACACCCATTAAAATAAACTCGTCAAATGGACTCTGGTTCAAAACACACAAGCTTTAGTGTGAAAAAACCCTTGCTATGATTTTTATTCTATTGTGAGACCACCCACAGCACAGTATGCTGATTCACGTGTGTGTAATGATGTTTTTCAGGTGGTTCATGAAGCTTATACTAGATTCACAGAGGAGCCCACCGTACAGTCCACATGGGAGAACAACACTGAAAGCACAGAAGTTGAGATCAAAGTAGGTGATTTTGTTTTCCTTTGGAAGTTAGTTAGTCTGCCAACATGATTTTAAAGTTATAGTTCACCTCATGTCATTCCAAATCAAGGCTATTCTTATTAACTAAAATACAATTATTAAAAACATTTTGTTAATTGAAAACGCTAAAATGAAATTAAATATATAAATATTAGATGAAGAACTTAAATGAGAATGAAATGAAAATGAGAAATATTGCCTTGAAAGAAGTTTAAGTACTCACTGGAAATAAAAACTAAAACTGAAATAAATCAAATTAAACCTAAATTTTTTTAAAACCTAATATTTAAGAAGAACTAATTAAAATGACAAAAGCACATAACAAAAATACTTATTTTTTTAATTTTTTTTACTAAAACTAATATAGTAACTGAATATGTACAAATAAAAGATGATTCAAAATGTTAATAAAAACTTTAATAGTATATATATAATACTAAAATATCAAACCTGTAGGCTGTTATTTTTCTATGGAACACAATATTTAAAATATTTTTAAAAAATGTGAAAATTAAATTAAATCAATTATATTTGGTTCTTTAATATTTAATATTCGCTAAAATCTAAAGAATTGTTATGCAGCTTGTGCAACAACTGGTCATAGTTCAGACCAATAAAGACAAATTAAATTAAATTACCAGCAACATATGTGACCATGGACCACAAAACCAGCCATAAGTTTCAATTTTTTTGAAATTGAGATGTATGCATCATCTGAAAGGTAAACAAATAAGCTTTCCATTGATGTATGGTTTGTTAGGACAGGACAATATTTGGCCGAGATACAACTATTTGAAAATCTGGAATCTGAGGGTGCAAAAAAATCTAAATATTGAGAAAATCATCTTTAAAGTTGTCCAAATGAAGTTCTTAGCAATGCATATTACTAATCAAAAATTAAGTTTTGATATATTTACGGTAGGAAATTTACAAAATATCTTCATGGAACATGATCTTTACTTAATATCCTAATGATTTTTGGCATAAAAGAAAAATCGATAATTTTGACCCATACAATGTATTTTTGGCTATTGCTACAAATATACCCCAGCGACTTAAGACTGCTTTTGTGCTCCAGGGTCACATATGTGATACTTTATTATACAGCAATATTTTGAATTCTGTAATATTCTTTAATATTTAAAGAATGGTTATGCAGCTTATGTAACAACTGTTCATAGTTCAGAACAAAATGACAGATTGAATGAAATTTTATTAAATTACATTTAAAACGGCAACATAAGGATAAATAATTACAGAATTTTTGTGTGAACGTTTTTTTTTTAGTATTTAGTATTTGTATAGTTCATCTTACAATTTTTGGTTCTGATTTAATTCTTAGGGTCTTGAGGTATCAAAACCAGGTCAGTACCAGGTCCTCCAATCTGACAAAAACTTCTTGGAGATGAATGACTCAGGCGTGGAGTTCAACTCGTCTGCACTTCCTCTGGACAGTGACACAGACGTACCCGACAATCTCGCCTCTCACAAGATCCTGCTCGAGTCTGACACTCTCGCTGGTGTCCCGCCGGCCATTTCTGAGGGTGACCACAGTGCCACTCGCACCCCTGATTCCATTCTGAGCGTCAGCCCTGCTGTCCAGCCCAAATCTGCAGCTCAGATAGATGGTGACTTGATTGGCGCGACCACACCTGAGGAAATTACAAAAGCAAATGAATCGGATGCAAAGATGAGCAAAGATGCTTCACCATATTCAGAGAAAGCATTGGATCCAAGTAATGGAACCACAACCTGAGCACTTTGAAGTAAACTGAGTCACACTAACCAGTGTGGCCACTGTTCATTCATAACATCTCACCGTTTGATGTCTAAAATGACCCAGCACATCTTGCTGGGCTCATCTGATGCTTAACAAATGGTTTCTCGAACAAGCAGAAACACTGATTCTAGAAGAACAAAAGAACAAATCCAAGAGAAGACAACAAAATTCACATAGAAGAACAGAAACGGCCCTGCACTATGCATGCATTTGAATTACTGAGGCGTTTAAAGCCAAGTGCTTGATTAGAGTGACCGTGTAGTGCATGTGAAGAAGAAAAACACATCTTAAGACACACATGTAAGACTTAATACTTTTTTATTAATATTAC